AGAATAACTCCTCAGAACACTCGCCGTGGTACAGGCGATAGAACGCGCTTAGTGACGCCACGTCACAGCGTAATTGAAGAGGCTCAAGGTGTTTAGTCACCTCATCGCCTATGATGCGGATCGGAGGCCGCTGTAACCTATTCAAAACATCGATGAAGTACTGTAAGATGACTCGTTCTAATGAAAATGTATGGAAATAAACCTAAAATATTTATTAAAGAGTAGAAATCAAAATATTGAGATGAAAATAAATGTTGATCTGCTATTTAAATTTTTATTATTATCATTAATATTTTAAATTCTTAATAATGGAATTCGTTTTGTTAATCCGTCTGCTGTATACTATATTAATGTGTAAGTTCGTATGTTTGTTAGTCAACCATGCAAAAACAGCCGAACGGTTCGGATGATATTTACCACACATATAGTTTGTTACCTGGATTGTGCCATAAGACACTTTTATCCTGGGCGAATGTTAGGTTACTGAGAAATTATAAAAAGTTAGTGTGCAAAAATTGCAGGCAATCGCTATAGTAAAATAAAAAAAAACATAGAATGCTTCGCTTATTATTTTCAAACTAGCAAAGCAGTGAACCAAATGTTCACCAATTAAAAAAAAAAAATGTATTTAATTAATTGAGAACTTCGGAGATTTTGTGTGGTTTCGTTTGAAATTCGTGATTTCTCAAAAACCGGAAGTGCTACTTTACTCAAATCCGGTTTGTAGTCTTATCAGACTATTCTTAACTTATAACTTAAACATTCTCTTTATCTATTTCTTACGGTTTGGCCGCTGAAACAGCACCACAGACGGACGGACGGACGGACTTGTCGAATAGATAAGAAATTCAAATTCAAATCATCTTTATTGCGAATACGGGTTGCAAAGTTGTTACACAGATACATTTTAATACAGTACAGCCATATTCTGCCTCATCGGCAGGCAAAACAATATTTCTATAAAACATTAATTATTTCAACGTAAATAAAAAAATATCTATTAATATATTATTTATTTTATTATTATTTATTTATCTTAAAATATGTAATTTTTTTTTCGAAATTTCACGAATTTGATTCCTAGAAATAATCTATTCAATCATTTCAATGTCACATTAATAAATTTAACATATTTTATTCAAAATATCAATAAGCGATGAATATAAGATTGCAATTATTTCATGCATGTCATTTTGTATGTTTAGTCTAAAAACTTTTGTCTTCCAAAAATTCACGCACCGTATAGTAACATTTTTTCTATTAAAAAATGTTGTAATTTGTTTTTAAATATATTGGTCACGGTAATTTCTCGCACAATTTCAGGTAATTTACTATAAATATATGGAGCATTGCAAAAAACACTTATCCTAAAAATTATCCTTCCTTATATTTCCGACGACCTCCTTGGCCGAGTGGTTTGTACGCCGGGTTTCATGGTGTCGCCGACTCGAGAGGTCCCGGGTTCGAATCCCGGTGGGGGCAGATGTATGTGTGATGAATACGAGCATTTGTACTCCAGTCATGGATGTTTAATATGTATTTCTTTATAAATATACTTATATATGTACAGTATATGTGTTCTATCCGTTACCCTAGTATCCCATAACACAAGCCTTATAGTGCTTAGCTTGGGGCTAGGCTAATTGGTGTGAGTGTTGGAAATATTTATTTATTTATTATTATTTCCTTTTATTATATAGTACAATTTGCGAATAAGGACATGGAGTAGAAACAAAAATTAAAGGTAATATCATAAATGAATGAGCCTCTCTAATCGTTTAGTATTAAATCATGTGTGCAAATGCTACGGAACTCTTCTTTCGCTATTTGAATTCGTACTGAGGCGGATTTTTCAAGGCGTCTCAATCTAAAATTGTTTATCTAAATGACTATACGAAATTGAAATATTCAATAATTACGTATAATTAAAAACTCTTAAAAATCTATTGTTATTTTTTTGTAATATAAGTTCTTTGTTTTGTGTTGACCTTGTTAAATATGTGTGTCCATTTTTAATTATTTTATCAATGATATCATATTTTCCTTTTTCAGTATTTACGATATATGTTTAAAAACATATCGGATCATCATCAGCCTATTAATGTCCCCACTGCTGGGGCACAGGCCTTCCCTATGAATGGAATAGGGAGATCGGGCCATGACCCCTTCAAGCAGGCCAAGTGCGGATTAGCGGGTGCTAACGACTGCATTTGCAGCCTGGACAACGGCTTAACGTACCTTCCGAAGCACGGAGGAACTCGAGATAGAAGATTTTTGGTCACCCATCCAATGACCGACCACTACGAAAGTTGCTTAACTTCAAAAGCGTGAACGACCTGCTCCGTCGAGCTCCTCTTTTCCTTCATAAATGGAGAGGCACTAGAAGTAAATAAGCCTAAAGTGTGTTATGCTACCGGAAAAATAAACAATTATAAAACAGGTCAATGACTTGTCCTAGCTTTTTTTTAATATTCCAGCCACATGTGGAGCAGTATTGCTAATTACTCATCTAATTATGTCACGGGAAATATTTTGAGTGCTGAATTTCAACTATTGTGTCTGTTCAACCTTAAACAATGTTTATTTTGGTTTTGTTAAGTATTTAGTACCATTTGGTTACGATAGATGGTGCTAATAAAATGTGTCAAATGTTCGGGTATATGTTCTAAATCGCGGTGTAGAAATTATTTTATGTATATACTTATGATAAATGAATAAGGTTCAAAACTGCGAATAAATTGGGCCACAGCTATCTGTGGAAACAGGGTGCTAATTTTTTTTGATTTAAGAAATGTCAATCAACCCCCGAAAACCAACCCTCAATTAGTACAGGGTTGTACAGTGTCAAATCAAAATAGATTTTTTTTATGTTTTAGGAGTACTATATTTATTATTTACCATATTTGCGGCAAAACCGATAACCGTTGGGGTAGACGAGTTCTGGAGTGGGGACCGCGTCTAGGCAAACGTAGTGTAGGACGTCCTCAGGCGCGATGGAGTAACGATTTGCGCAAGGTGGCTGGCAGGAGCTGGATGCGAGTAGCCCAAGATCGATCTGAGTGGCGTGCAATTGGAAAGGCCTATGTCCAGTAGTGGACAAAGATAGGCAGTTGATGATTGAAATAATTGTGCCCAATAGGCTGGCAGCTTACAGGAGCTCGATGGCAAAAGTGGCTAGCGTGTTCGGCTGCGATCGTTGAAGTTAAGCAACTTTCGCAGTGGTCGGTCATTGGATGGGTGACCAAAAATCTTCTATATCGTGTTTCTCCGTGCTTCGGAAGGCACATTAAGCTTGGTCCCGGCTACATCTGCAGTCGTTAGCACCCGCCAATCCGCAATGGGCCCGCGTGGTAGCCATGGCCTAATCTCGCTATTCCATCCATAGGGAAGGCCTGTGTCCCAGCAGTGGGAACATTTATAGGCTGATGATGATGATGAGGCCATGTTGGATGGCAAGGCCGATCCGTTGACCGAGATAGCTGCCAGCCTTTTGGTTACCAGTCACTTCGGTGAGCCTCTTTGATATTGAGGGAAAATAGACTATTTTAAAATGGGCAAACAAATATTTTAGGTATAATCTTCTTATATATAAAATTCTCGTGTCACAATGTAAGTAACCATACTCTTCCGAAACGGCTTAACCGATTTTCATCTGTGAAGAAAGCATTCTTTCAGAAGCCGCACTTATATATAATATATATTTAAATAGTATATAGCCAGGTAGGCAAATGACTCTACCCCACCCGGTGTTAAGTGGTGATAAAGTCCAGACGCGACTTATAGGCGAAGATAGCTGGTACAGCAGATACAAACTGCCACGCCCAACCATCCTCACCTTGCCGGCCTGCAGAAATGCTTCTTCACGCCTCTCTTAAAAGACCCCAGATTGTAGGAAGGAGGGAACACGTGTGCAGGCAAAGAATTCCACTTGCGAGCAGCACTTTAACATGAACACAGCATAGTTCAACTCAAATTTCAGCCCCATATACTGTATGTATATACTGTGCCCCATCAGTGGGGACATTAATAGGCTGATGATGATGATAGCGGTTGCCTGCCATTTTTGCGCACTAACTTTTTATAATTTCTCAGTAACCTAACATTTGCCCAGGATAAAAGTATCTTATGGCACAATCCAGGTAATAAAGTATGTGTGTGGTAAATATCATCCGAATCAGTTCAGCTGTTTTTGCGTGGTTGACTAACAAACATACGAACTTACGCATTTAAGTTTTTCCGGCAAACGGTTTTACAAAAAGAATTCTACTATCAGGAATTTAAAAAGTTTATTTATAATGAAAATTCAAATAACGGATCAACATTTATTTTTATCTCAATATTTTTATTTATCCTCTTTAATATTTTTTTAGGTTTATTTCCATACATTTTCATTAGAACTAGTCATCTTACATCTTCAGCACTTTAACATGAACGCAGCACAGCTCAACTAAAATTTGATTAAGTACCCTCATGATGATAATTTTCATAACATCAAACGGATTTGACGACCTCCGTGGCTGAGAGGTTTGTACGCCGGGTTTCATGGTGTCGCTGACTCGAGAGGTCCCGAGTTCGAATCCCGGTGGGGGCAGATGTTTGTGTGATGAAAACGAGCATTTGTACCCCAGACATGGATGTTTGATATGTATTTCTATATAAATATACGTATATTTGTACCCTAGTGCTTACTTTGGGGCTAGGCTAATAAATGTGTGTTGGAAATATATATATATATATATATATATATATATATATATATATATGCCCCAATCTGTCACCAACCTCGATTAAAATCCAACAACACCAGCCAAAGTGCTACTTTCCCAAGCAAACCACATGGTCATCAACTAAATGACTCATTGGCACCATGTGAATTGACACATTGGCCACCACATGGTAAGACGGCTTTTTTCTACGTTTCTTGAACCCTAACACCGGATGCGACCACGTGTTCTAAAACCCTCTGTTCTACCAAACCCATTTTCAAGGGGGCGTCATGCTAAAAATATAGAATTGGATTCTAAACTTGACGCGTTTGTTAGTCACGTTGGGGAGATCGCGCGCCGCGTTCGCGACCACGAACGAACGACCGTCCAGTGAAAAAGTTCGTGGAATATGTTCGAAAATTTTTGAAAAATTCGAGTGCACAATTCTTTAAAAAGTTCGTTTTTTAAATTCCGGATTTGGCCACGCGCTTTGCCACTATGGTGAGTCTATTGTTTTTAAAACTTTTACTATTCTAAATTCAAAATGAATGTTTTCTTTTTATTCGAGTACACGAGAATTTTAGCACACCAAGATTTGTTCTAATTTCGAATATATTTAGGAATCGAGATTCCTACGTAATTATTATGAAAAGAATGCCGATTCAATGCCCGTTTTCGTTATTAAATTTTTACAACACAGTAAAGATGTTAGTAAAAGCATTTTTTGCGTAATGGCAAAACTAAAATTATAGTATTTCTCCCCATAAAAAAAATGTTTGACGGGCGGTGTTAGCACCATAAAGAACTAAGCGTTGACAGATATAAATGTAAATTTCTAGTGCTACATGAATAGCTATGGGTCGTGTCGTGTGCTAAATAGCTCTACGAAATGTATATAGCTTCCAAAACAAATTATTTATAAGATTTATTTATCATTACTTATTCACTGGCAAATCGTCCCCTTATACTAATGCAATCATTCATAACTATTGAATAAGTGTAACATTTGTTTTTTTTTCTTTAAAAACTTTAGTTTTAATTTTTGACAATCCAGTTCATGAATTTCGGTTCATACGAGCCTTTTCATGGGGAATAATACTATGCCTTTTGCCTAGCGCAACAGTTTAAAAATCGTTAATTATTTTTTAACTGGAAGTTCCATTCTCTTTTGAATAATTAAAAACATTATTGACAATAACGGAAAAAGGTATTTGCTATGGAAACGTAATCAAACGCTTTTTGCTAACTCCATATTTGTAAGTCTTCATAAAAATTATGAAATCTAGTTATAATTATATATTTTTTAAGCATTTAACGGCTGTTTATTGTAGATAGTAGTGAAATGAAATGAAATGTCATTTATTCAGTCTAGGCTGTTACAAGCACTTGTGAAGGTCAAGAAGCTACGCCATCGGTTCGCAAAACTACGGCGGGAGACCTTGTACTGAGAAGAACCGGCAAGAAACTCAGTAAGGGCTGCTTTTTTCTCCCTGTATATTGAATCCCTGTATAATGATACTCGTATATACAGAATCGTCAAGTTGAATAAAGACTTCAGAGATACTTCTGAAGTCACCTTCCATTGCATTATTTAGGACATAGATATATAGTTACAATAAATTTTATATTTAGTATATAGGAAGCGGCATTAGATAGATACCATATTACTGTTACAAAAACTGACTCATTTGATGGGTATCAAATAACAAATTACAAGAAACACTATGTCCATGCATTTCGATCATTTAGATAATCATTAACTTTATAATAGGCCTTATTCGTAAGAGTATATTATGTAGATATTTTAAATCTAAAGAACATTTTACTAGAAAAAATTCCACGTGTACCAGGCAGCAGACGAGACTTGAACCAGCACAGTCCGTTATCCGAGCGGATGCACTGACGATTATGCTACCGCGACCCCAATTGTCCGTGACGAATTTTCAAACTGTGGGTTACCTACAAAGCGAAGAGATGGCACTGCCTTGCAGCCTAAGAAATACTAGAGAAAATTCGACACGGACAATTAGGGCTGCGGTACAGGTTTGGTTAGTGAGAAACAGATACAATAACTATAGCGATCATTATCATGTCAGCCGTAAGACGCCCATTGCTGAACATAGATAGGCCTCCCCCAAGGATCTCCACACCGATCGGTCCTGCGCCACTCGCATCCATCGGCTTCCCGCGACCTTCACAAGATCGTCGGTCCACCTTGTCCCCTACTAGGTGGACCGACGATCGGTGCCCTCTGAGTGTCGTCCGGTGCGTGGTCGCCATTCCAGAGCCTTTCCGCCCCAACGGCCATCGGTTCTTCTTACTACGAGTCCCGCCCACTGCCACTTCAGCAGAGCAATCCTTCGCGCAATATCGGTTACTTTAGTTCTCCTACGGATTTCCTCATTTCTGATTCTATCGCGTCATTATTTTAATATGCTTTATTTGGTCTAAAATGATTATTTTTAAGTACCTGCCTAAAAGTCATTGTATATTCGCGCTCTACCTAGAAAAGTTACCTCTACCTTACAGATCACAGCGAAATGGCACTACCTTATTATGTTAAAGGGGTTCAAACAAGCATATGGCCCGCCTAATGGCAAGCGGCCACCATGGCCTATACCAAAACTGTTCCCTCCGATTCCGTCGGCAAAGCCATGTCTTAGAGTACCCCGACGCAGATCACCCGCGCCAACGCGCCTCCGACTCCTCCCACACAGGCCACAAACACCAACACTACACAGCTAGCAAACTTGCACACTAGCTTAGCATTAGGCAGACACCGCACCCGTGGGATAAGAGTGCGAAGGCCCGGTCTACACACGACACGCTATACCAGGTAGCCTTGGCGTTATTCCCCGCCCCCCACGACAACGGCTATCTAGAGCCGAGGTCTGAGTCTCAGAGACGCCCTCTAGTTAAGCCGCCCTCAGGTTCGAGTGGTCTAGAGGCTCCAGACGGCGAGGAGACTCCCCCCGTGGGGAGATGACATCCGCCTGGAATACCTCTAGAGGCACTCGCCTCGCTTGAGGTCCCGTAAGGAGCCCGCCGTCCCTAAACCCGGTGACGCTGTAAAGGTCATCTGCGACTAACAGCATACACACTCAAATAAAAAAATAAAAAAACTGTCATTCGCGCGGTTGCCTACTCTGACCCAAACCCCTTCCCCGTGAGGGCCTTTTCTTATACGCAGGCAAAAAATACTGCTTACAGACGACGACTTTAACAGGCACACCGCCGCACGGACCTCACACCTGGCTCCCGCAAGCCTTACGAGCCCCAGCAGTGGCTGCCCACTGAGGACCCCGTAACTCTTACGGGCGCTTTACGGCATAATATACGCTAAGCCCTGCGAATACCCTCTAAGCTCCTTAGCGCGAAGCCGCGGGATCCCCCTTTAGGGATTCTTCCGCGTCTCCGCACCTAGCAGCCTCCCGGCCTAGCCGGGGCTCCGCGGTAGGGGTCTCCCGGGGTATCGCGGGGACCCCGCAAACGTGCGCAGGATGGCCCGCGCGTGGGAGCTGAGTACGCGGCCTAGTGCCCACCGTACCGCCCCCCGTCCGCTGCGGAGGGCTACTTGGGTGTGCCCGTGTAGCTCCCTCCGCCGCCCCCCTCTTTGCAGGACAGAACTACAAGGTTCCCCGTGAAGCCCTGGAAATTTACTCCAGACACATCCACACTCTACCGACAGATTATTGTACCGCGTTCTTCTGTAAGGTGGAGGTTCCTTCCCCGAACGGGTGCCGCAATTCGAGCGGTAAGTCTGATATGCCCTACCTTTTTAATGTCCTGTGTGTCTGTCGTTGAGTACGGTTTCAAGAAATCGGGGACAGGGTTAGAAGTAGGTAATATTACGACTGATGTCACTCTGGTATCACAAGTGTCTGTAGACTATGGCGGGCGCTTACCATTAAGATTGTTTCACATCCTTTCCTCCATAAGAAAAAATCATTCCCTATTTCAAAACCTTTTAATATCTCCACACAAAAATATCAGAATCGCTTCGGAGCGCTTAAATTTTAGTATAGACATACATAATTTAATATCTTTCTCAAACTCTCAATAGAAATAGTGTGGATGTATCTACATCTTTACATCTTCTGAGTAGCGCAACTTTAACGCTCTGCCAGTCCCTAAAGGAATATAGTGTGAATGTTCAAGTATATAATACAGAGACGCATGAGACATAGCGTTCTGAAAGTTCAACGCACGCACAAATATAGAAGATAGGAATGGGAAACAAAACTATAAGCACACCTGAGGTAACACCCGTCTATTCTGTAAATTATGCGGCATTTGTGATTAGGGATGTTTTATAGTCGATTAACAAATTATATCGATTATTCAGATTCAGACGACGAAGACCTGAAAAGGTTGCAAAACGTCAATAAATAACTAAAATCACTACATCTAACCCGTTGAAAATTATATCGATATCAAAATTAATGTGTTAATATTTTCCCAAAAAAGTAAACTGAGTGCTATAAAAATAATGTTTTCAGTCAATTTAGGGGCCAAAAAATCCATCCTTTCAATAACTATTGAAAGGATAAATTTTTTGGTCAGTATGACCATTCGTAAAAACAATAATCGCTAACAAATTAATTCTAAAAAAACTCTAGATAAAAATCCATTCGTTCCAGGTATCAGACTGGATTATCTTGTGATATAAAAATCTAGTAGTTTAATGCACAAAATAAAATATGTAATAAAAGTTTGCCAACAAGTAAACCGCTTAACTTGTCAATCAATTCTGACTGGAAATCCTTAATTCCTTAAAGCAAATGATTTCATATTGTTGCATATTTAATGGATTTCGGCGATCACTTACAAAACTCAAAATCAATAGAAAATTTACTAAAAAATCTATTTCAAAAGAATTCTTTTAACATAAAAGTCATCCGACATTACTAGAACACTTTTTGTTCATTTCATTTCTTTGTAGCGTTATATAAATAAACAAATGAAACGACATCCTGCCGTATGTTGCTAAATTCCGTTGTGACGCCATCTCTTTCATTTGTGACTATATTTACCTCTTTCCCTCGCATCTTCCGCTGTTAAGGGACGGGTGTTATGTTTATTTCCTGCGCTTAACACCTATTTCGGAAACTGGTTTAATTACTTCCGAAGATACAAAATCGTTGCTGAGAAATTCTGCATTTGAGGTTCTAACGAGATGTTGATGAAGTTCTTAATAAAGGAATATTCCTAGGGAATATTATATTTATTATTTTTGTCCTATTTACTGTATACTACATTCCCTTTAACAGCTTTAATGTTAGTGACCATGAAAGTTTAAAACAATATAATATGTTTATATCTTTTAAAAATCTTTGATAAAAAACATATATTTTCGTAATAAATGAATGCTCGTCATGATATTCCTAGAGACGTTATAAATATAGATTTTGACCCTAGGGAAATTAGGCTTGTGGCATTGTAATAAAAATAAAAATAATATTTACATGGCTGGACACTTTGCCACTATACGTACTCACAGA